TGTGGGTCGAGAGTACAAGGCACTGGCAGGGGTGGGGGAGCTGCGGATCAGGAGTGAGGTGTCTCCCCGACAGGTGCCCTCTTTTTTGGAACTGGAAATATGGCGACTTTAATTCCAAGTACTGGAACAGGCTTAATCAGGCAATATGATGACATAGTAACATATCATTAGCAGGTATGTCAGCATTATAACACATCTGCAAATAGGGATCATAAAATTATTCGGTCCTGAGTAAAAAAAAAACCCTCCTATAGTATATTACAAGAAAATGCATTATTTATTTCTTGATCAATGACAAGAGGGAGAATCCTATTTCACCTGTTTGGATGACCAAAGTGCACCTTGAAACTAACTCTGATTTACCCAACTAGAGTGTAGGAATGATGCTATTAAACCCTTTAGAGTATGTAAATACCACATTATAGGAATAGGATTGCCCTTCAAAGACTCACAGATTTCTCCCTGTTCCCATAATGGGGGCAATTACATGCCCTGAAGGGGGTATTAGAATTATTCTGTCACTTTTTTCAGGTAACAGGGCTGATCGCAAGCTGTTCTAGGATTGTCCAGTAAATGAAACATAATTCTGGCCAATGTGTCCACCATAACCAACCCATAATGTTAACATCACATTTACTTACATAACTACTGAATGTTGTAAGTTCTCAAGAAGTTTTTTAAAAGTCAAAGGAAATGTAAATCATTGGAAAACTTGCAGCAAAACTGTAAATAGAAATACAAGCTTCCATAGTGTACAATTTCACATAAAGCTGCAATGTGTATAACACGTTAGAATAACATGTTAGCTCCAATATGGCCTATCCAGAGATTAGCTGAATTGTCTTTTTGATATGGGAAAGAAGCTAGTAGACATTGCCATCATTGCCTTTGAAATGTGTCTGTTATCTTGAAAAGGCTGCAGATCACTAATTTCTTTATAGTGCTCATTACTTTAAACTAACAATTAAACAAGAAATTCCATGTATGCAGTCAAATCCTGGTTCCTCTAAAGGCAGTGGCAAAAATTCCATTGACTTTATTAGAACCAGGATTTCATTCACAGTAATTTAAACACTTAATATTTAATCAAAAAGTAAAAAATGAGGCCTTATCTTCCCTTAGATTTTCAGATCTTTTATTGTTCTAAGAGTATCTTAAACAAATCCCAGATAAAACATGGGGTTGTTCTAATATTCCAAAATGTTGGTCCAGGGAACACACTTATCATTGGCCCATACAGGCCTGGTTGGTTACCTGATCTGAGCTCTTTCTCCTAATTTCCCTTTTAAATTGTGCCAAAAAGAAGT